ATTTTGTCAGCTGTGAAGATTGAAGAACCGTTTATTTTATTGGGTTCATTGGTTCAATTTGGCAGGACGTCCATTTGCGATGGAGCTGCTGAATCCTCACAAATCCAGATTCAGCAAAGAGCAGATGAAGCAGCTCCAGGAGGTACAGATGTGTCCTTTCACTCCGTCCATTATTCTGCAGTCACTTAGTTGCTGAACAGAAGGTCTCAGCAGCAATATAAGATTTTCCTTATTAAGCCTGTTTTACATTATGAGAAATGTTGCAGTGACTGAAAATATTTGAATTCAATCCCAGGGAATCTGTTCTCCCTCCTCATGACTTAATTATTTTAATTTGTAATATTTTACTTCAGCCAAGAACATCTTAAAACACAGTTATTTTCATTTGTTGTTTAGCATTTTGTTAAACTGATTTAGTCCCTGCATTTGATTTGAAATATGTTAAAGTTGTATATAAGTAAGAACTGACTTTATTGCATAGTACTTTTTTCTTTGGAGCATAAACTGTAATAAAAGATGGACATGGACACCTTAACATCAGGTATTGGTTTTGGCATTTTGAAGAGTTGACATTAACTCTGTGGAGGTTGCCATGTTAGGATTTGAGTTTATTTGGATTAGCGTTGTTGCCAGCAAGCTTGATTATTGCTTGCTCATGCGACCCTTTAATTAGCGCTATGTAATAGGAAAAATATGGAGCTTAAGGTACCAAAACAAAACAGAAGTGCAAACCTGTTGGACAGGCTGTACCACACAGCAAAAACCTAGCAGAGGGGGTCAGTTCAATCAATCAATCAGTGGTGGTAAGACCTATCAGATCAGTTATAGCTACCCGGGTTTACCACACCTGTCAATCTTAGCCACCACACAACTATAGAAATCAATAATAAATTCAGATGGATTAGATATTAAAGGCATTTGGAATCCATCCATACACAAGGTTGTAAAGGGAAAATATGTTTTTTGTGCCACAGTGTAAATTTTAGCATTTTAACATGAGAGTTTGTAAATTTGCAGTCTGTACGGTGGCCCTGAGAGGCCAAACGGACTGCAACTTCAGAAAACACTTGCAAAAAGAAGAATGCTGCAAAAAGAAAAACGCTGCAAAAAGAAAAATGCTGCAAAAATGCTTCTTTTTGCAAGTGTTTTTCTTTTTGCAGCATTTTTCTTTTTACAGGTGTTTTCTGAAGTTGCAGTCCATTTGGCCTCTCAGGGCCACCGTAGTTTTGGGCAATTGGCAGATCCTTTTTTTCAGCCTCCTAAAAAAATGCTTGTTTCAAAGTTAAGCTGACAGAAATGTACGTTCACTGATGCAAAGACTTTAGACCTGCTGATATTATTTTTGTTTTGTTCTTAGACCATTAACCAGTCGTCAGACAAAATCAAAGTGAGAGACCTGCAGATTGTTACCAGGTGAGAAAATCCGAAAATGACTCATTCTTGGGGAAACTGCATTTGTACAGCGAAATCTCCAACATATGTGAAAG